CCTCCTCTGGAGCCTCGGGCACTGAATGCCAACGGGGTGCTGGCAGCCAAGCCTCAGATCTTGGAGCAGGGCTTTCAGGGCAGGGCACACGTTGACCCCCCCTATTTTCAGCCAGCTAGGGTTTGTCACGCGGTAACAGTACAACGGTAACGAATTTATCCTTGTGTCCGGTCTCTGCTGTGGGTTTTGACTCCCTTCTTAACGACCCATGGGCATCCCCAGAGGGAACCGACACTGTCATGAGACGCACAGTCGAACACGCTCCTTCTCACATATTTAAAGTGAAAGGAGACGCAGTTCACTCGTGTCGGATACAGCCGGTACTCTGGGCGGTCCCTCAGAGTCTTCCATTCGTATGACTCGGTGAGCCACGCTTTTTTGGGTGATGCGTATTATCATCGATCCCAATGATACGATGTAAATACCCCCACCCTTGATTCTAAGGCGCCCACCTAAGGTTGCTTCAATGCTTATGGGATCACGGGCGTCGGGATCCAAAGCAACCCCGTCGGCACGTCTCTCCCTGTTCGTCCAAGTGCAGAGCATGCAAACGGTGTTGATGGTCAGTCGCGGAGGATGTAACGCTTAAGGCCCCCCAGGTGTGGGAAAACATTAGGCACCGCTGGACCGATGTGGTTTCTGGATCAGACCCCATAGCGTGGGATGAGACCAAAACGCTCCCAACCGGATCCCAAGGCTCCTTCCCCAGACCCCGGTACCATGAATTTGGCAAAATGGGCAAAGGGGGACAGCCGCGTTCCATGGGCGTTCTTGCCAATCGAAGACGACTCATCCAGCCCTGAGGGCAGATTTTCCCAGGACCCTGGAGACCTTGCAGGCAGAGCGCACCAGCCTCCTCAGGTGACATTTTTACTGGTGGGCCACTGCACATCTACGTGCGACACCCCCTAGTGTCACCTGGCTCTTTTGGCCAGGGCCACTACTGTGCTACGAGACGTGGCCTTAGACGCACATGTTTTCGCCGACAAGCTGAGTCGGTGTACGTCCCCACCTCAGTGACGCAGACTGAACATCCTCCACCCTCTTTATTCATTGAATGGTGCGTACAGTCTGGGAGCTTCGGAATGCAATGAACCAGAGGGTTCAGATCAAATCCGCTAGCCAGTTGGCCCTGCCAAGGGCATGCGGAGGGCACCCCAAGCACAGAAACACAACGCCGTAGGGCGTCGTCCGCTAGCCAGAGTCAGCCAGGAGGCAAGCGCTCATACCCTTCCATGGGAGGGAAGAGTAGTGGCGCGCCCTCAGGGAGGAAAGAGCCAGGTGGTGGCTCCTCACCCTCCCTGGGCGGACGTCTACCCGGCACCTTTCCAGGTGGTGACATCCTGTTACGGGATACCAGTGAAATCTTCATTTTCCCCTTTCAGTGTCTTCCCTGTTGGTCACTGCCAGGGGACTCAATCAGACAGGAAGTCGCAGTTTGCTGGAAAAAGACGCCATACACAGGGTACATCAGCCGGAACTAAGTCCTGGCTTCTACCCAAATGTGTTCGTAGTACCAAATCTACAAGTGGCGGGCGTCCAGTTCTGGACCTAGGCAGACTGAGTCAGTACGTGCTCCTCGATTGGTTCCACTTGGAGACACCATTTACAAATGTTGGGTTCTCCTCTCCATCCACTGTTTTGACTGGCTAGCCCCACTAGACTTAAGCAGGGGCCTACCTGCACATACCGATGCACCCAGCGAGTTGCCATCTCCTTCGAATTGCCCGGCTGGGCCAAGTATTCGAATTTTGGGGGCCCCCTGTTCGGGTTCGGGACAGCGCCCTACGTGTTCACCTGAGTGATGAAACAGGTAGTGCTGCTGCTTCACCAGATGTCGGTACACCTCAATCCGTACCCAGACTACTGGTTACTAACAACCTTGGCAAAGGGTTAATAGTCAAACGTGTCAGGCTAACACAGAATTTACTTCACCAGTTGGGCTCGTTAGTAAATCGACAAGTCCAGTTGGTGTCCCTGGGCATGGAGTTTGGACACAGAGGTAAGCTTCGCTTAGCTATTTCAAGCGTGTTGCTTAGCCCTAAGCAGTCTAGCCAAACGCCTAGTCAGCGCTTCCTCAGCGCTCCTTCAGTGTCCATCCGAGAACTAATGCGGATCATTGGAATGATGACCTCAGTTCAAAGGGTCGTTCCCAAGGCTGCACTACGCAGCCGCCTGTTATAACGCTTGTTATAATGCCGAGCTCTCCTATGGGAACTAGATAGGCGAGTTTCGATCTCGGACCAAGTGAAGGAAGCCCTGCCCTGGTGGTCGTCACTGGCCAACCTCGGACAGGGGGGCCCCTTGGGGAGCGCATCTATTGGACCAACAAGCCCAAGGATATGGCTTCCGCATTAGTTTCGGGACTACCATATTAACCAGCTCGAACTGAGAGCAGTGCACTTAGCACTACCACGCTTTCTACTTGTAGTTCGAGACTACAGAGTCCTGCTCCGCACAGGCATTGCAGCGGTGGTCTCCTTCAAGAAGGAGGGGGGACGCATTCCTCATCGTTGTCAGTCCTAGCGAAGCAAATCCTCCTTTGGTGCCTGGAGTACAATGTGGAGCTAACCGCACACCACCTTCCAGGGGTGAGGACGGCTCCGTCTCCCGAACACTGAGTGGCTGATACCCCAGTGGGTATCCTCCAGGTTGTTTCGACTGTGGGACGGTCCAAGGTTGGATCGGTTTGCCGCACTCTGCAACGCCAAGCTCCTGATGTACGTAACACTCCTGCTGACCCCAGGACCCTGGCCCAGGGTCGCTTTGCTAACCCCGTGGACCCACTTAGTTATGTACGCCTTTCCTCCCATCCCGCTAATTCACCGGGCACCGGAAAAACCTCGACAGGTGCACACCTGCATATTATCATTGGTCGCACCCAATTGGCCAAGCAAGGCCTAGTTTCCACTTCTGTTGGAAATGCTAGTCGAAATACCAGCAGTGCTTCCGGACTTACCGGACCTGCCGTTCAGACGACGCACTACCAACAAGCCCAGCAGGTATCACTTACACATATAGAGGCCTCAGTAGACCCACACATACGAAAGCCTTATCTGAGCAGACTGCCAACGTCCTGGCCAGGGCATACAGGGATTTCCACCAAGACGGCCTACATTTTTAGGCTGCGAGCATACACTGATTGGTGTAGTGGAAGGGAGATTGGTCCATACCCATCCCTCTATTGGCCAGATAGCAGGCTCCTTCATCCACCTGTTTGACAAAGTAGGTTTGTCCTATGCAGCGATCATTGGCTACAGGTCGGCCTTGTCCCCCACCACTCAAAACGTACGGAAACAAGACTAGCCGATTGTCCAATTATTAGAAGACTATTTACTGCTTTCCAGACGCCAAGACCCCATACAAGGGAGCCACCCAACTGGGACTTGTCGGCTGTGTTGTCTGCTCTAAGCAGACTGCCTTTGAGCCTCTCCGATCAGCACCACTCCAATTTTTGACGTGGAAAATAGTCTTCCTACTGGCCCTCGCCTCAGGTAGGCATCGGCCAGAGCTGGGGGCATTGTCCTTCTCGGATAATGTACTGCCGCTATGGACAATCAAGTTGTGCTGAAGACACGAATCGGGTTTCTCGCCTAGAACCAGATCCCAGGACACAATCCTCACCAGATCGTCATCCCCCGACTGTCAAATTTTGTCTGCCCGGAGGGTCAGGAGGAATTACTTCTCTACCTGGTTCGGGCACGGAGTTGCTACCAAACCGTACTAAGGATTCAGGACGGGGTGCCAGGCACATGTCTTTGTGTTACGGCCCAGGCAGGCAGGATAGGCCGGCCTCCCCAACTTCCATAACCAGACGGTTTACTGCGACTGTATTAGAGGTCTATAATCCTTTAACTTCCTCGACACAGAGCCTGCAGAGACACCAAATACAAGCGCATGAGGTCTGTGCAATTGCTAACTCGCTAGTGCTAGCGTCAGGTACCCCCTCGAGCACACATGGAGGACAGGCTTCTGGAGAATGCAGAACTTCGTTATCATCTACCACCTAAGAGACACCAAATCCATTGAAAAGGGTCTCTCTAGGTTGGGTCCCGTCGTAGTGGGTCAGTCTTGGTTTGCTGACCCAGCCCGAACGACCGCTAGGGACCCTGCGCATAGGCGATAAGTCAGTCCGGCATTTTATGCGGACAGATTTCTCTACCATCAGCAGCTCCCAGGTCCCGCTTTGCTGCCTATGCCCTCATGCAGAACTGTTTCAGTCTTTACTTCGAAAGCTTACTACCCCCCAGAATTGGGTTAGGGTCTGGCTTTCTCGGGCACATCGAACCCTGTCACCGTAGCAGCTTTTTAGCTTCTTGCTCCGAGGACAGCACAGGCTTAACTAGGGTGTTGAAAGATTTTTGTAGAGGGTTTCATCCAGGACTGGGAAAAGACTTTTCATCACTTTTCTGTTTGCTCAGAAAACCTGCCACCTATCGGCGTCTGACTCTGCCTACAGTTCAAAATAGTCATTTTGACTGACCGGAGTCTATGGTGGGTAATTAAACGTAGTGAATTTAGG